CGGTATTTGCGTCAGACTCAGTCGCAGTTAAATTGACTGAAAAAATAGCTGCACTGATACTCGAACAAAGTTTGATCGTCTGTCGAGACAACGCCGCGGTCTTTCGGAACATTTTGATCTGAATGGATTATGATTAAAGACTTTCGTTAGAACCTAACCAATGATCTACAATTTAAGAGAAGATATATTCATAATAACAAAATTAAAACCATCGAATCAAGGTGAATTGAAAGCAAAAGAATCCATTCATCAATCACTGCAGAATCTTCACACTGATTATATCGACTTATTTTTGATTCACTGGCCCGGAGTATCATCAAGGAACGTCAGTGATCCTTCGAACGCAAAATTACGTTCTCAGAGCTGGGCGGTTATGGAAGAAATGTATAGTAAGGTTTTCATTTCCGAATATTACCGACATTATTAACAATAACAAAGTGTTGTTTTCACTATCTGATTTATTTGCTTACCTTCTCAATTTAATATTGATCGCAGGACACCTGAAGATAGAATAACATTTTTGCAACTTGCGAATAACTGGTGTCTGTCAGAAATGTTTTTGTGAAAATCATATATCCGAAGAAAGACATCATTGATGTATCACTGTTTGAACACATTGTTTGATGTAAACAAAAGAAGTCTGCTAATACTCACTGGGAACGGATGTTGATATGAGCATGAATTTAGCTGAGAAATTCGTCGATGAATTTTTAAAATGATGTATTCGATGAGCTGTACTTTATTAGGAAGTATTCATGAAATTATGCATTAGGATCAAAAGAATTACGAGCGATTGGCGTGTCGAACTACGAGATAAGGCATTTGGAGATATTGCTATCATCGGCCACTGTACAAGTGGCTCTTAACCAATGCGAATATCATCCGCATTATGAGCAAAAACAACTGATCGATTACTGCACTCAGCATAACATCGTATTTCAGGTGACCCAATTCAAATACATACCTATTAAAATATTCGTCTTTTGTTGGATATGTGTTATGTAAGTTTTTTGGGTTTGAAATTTATCGGAATAATAGAAAGACTGGGCAGTTTCCAGTACTTATATGTCGAAGACAATTTGGGTATTTATTCACACAGCTACTCACAGAGTGTGTCTAGGACTTTGTTTTAAAAACTGATATTGAATAATGGCAGTTAATTGCTTTCAGGCTTATAGCAGTTTCGGAAGTCCTCGATCTATCGATAAGCTCGTACAAGACGAACAAATACAGAAGATGGCAAGCAAGTATAATTGCTCAATTACACAGTTTCTGTTAGCGTGGTCCATTTCACAAGGTACAATATATTGATTCAAGTGAATGCAAAATGAAAATTCGTTTCGCTGATCACTTATTTAGTGGTATTGTTCCAATCGTCGGTATATATATATACTCTCGTGGATGCAAACAAATCAAAAAACGATGTAAATGCAGATGGTGTTGTTGCACAATGTAGTTATGTGATTTATACTTTTGTGATTTAATTGAATTTATAATTCGTATTCGACGTTAGAGTGTTGATGTAATCGTTTGAAATTGGCATGACGGAAATGAAACATGAATTCTGTTAGAATAATGAGTATTACAAAATAAAACTGACGGCAATAATCGAACGTTTTTAAGGTATCAGTGTTTTACCGCGAAGCACCAACGTGAATCACATCGCCGACAATTACAAATCAATTCAATACAAAATCTCAGAAGAGGATATCGATGCGGTTATGTCTAGTAAAAGACGAAAGTACTGTTGGGATCCATCAATTGTTTCGTAGTTGATGTTTACCATTCGTAAAACGTTAAACTCTTAGAAGTAATCTCAACCTCGCTGCAACATACACATACCTCAATAAAATTTTAGCAGTGTTTTCAATGAAATGAAATTTTAACACATCAGCTCGTTGATTGTTTAATGGCACACAAAACAGATTATCGATAAATGGCACAACAAAAAGATTATCATAATTTTGAACCGTACGGTACAAGCTTAAACCATGCAGAACAA